ACTGAAAAGATTAATGAAATTTCAACAGCTGCGGAAACATTTAACTGAAAGGCTTTTTTGAAAGAGACCCAGAGATTCGAAAAAACGAAAATACTTATTTTTACTAATCTTTGGAGTTTCTACGATTGAAGAACCTCTAAAAAGTCAAGCTGATGATTTTTGAAATCAAAAAATAAATAAAACTAAAAACTGCCAGATTTGGCGAGATTACTGTATTGTGTGAGTGGAAATCACTCTGCATGAAACAGTTTTGGTTTGCTCAAGCCACCAAGAATGCTGTGAAAATATTAGCTGGTACCATACCATCGATATTTATCAAACTACTGGCGAATTCAGTAGATATATACAGTCAATGATCACCTGAGTGTCCAAACCACTAGGTACAAAGTAATACTTTTAATTTACATTTAAAAAACTCTAAAAGACAAAAAGAGGTTTTCTGTAAGAGGACAGAAGATATTTTCATGGCAGAAATTTGCGAACTTTCCTATGGTTGTTAATTTTACAGTAATAAAACATAGTGGCTGACCAAATAAAATTAAGTCGTTTTCTTAGGTTGCTGGTAAGGCAAGACACCCGCATCAGCCATAGACCCTAATATAGCGCCGGTATGACTTACAGCACGGTACTGCATACCATAATCAGCTTTTTCAAACAAACGATCCATTTCCTGAAAAGACCAAAAGTTGCACGGATTTTTGAGCTATTTTAAAAGCATATAACTTTTTAGTGTTTTGTCGGCAAGTGTGCCATATCAGTGGCAAATATGTATTGTTGCGTTCAAGCAGGATAGCTCCCAAAAAAACAGCTTCACGTGATAATTCAAACAGCCAAAACTATCATATGTTTGAATTAAAGTAGTTCTGAATAAAGTACCACTCCTTCCCAATCCAGACAAAAAAATAATTCATGAATATGCAAAATAGAAGACGGCATGAACAATATACAGATAAAGATGTGTTTTTTAAACAACAAAGAGAAGCGAAGTGAATTTAGCAGAGCAGCTTAAAAAGTTGTTCTTTCGCCGTGCTTTAAGTTAAAATCAAAAATTAAACAGCTCCCAATATATTCCTAAACATTTCCTACACCTAAACATTCCTAAACATTTCCTACACCTTTACATTACTGGACTAAAATTAGATCAACCCTAATCAACTGCTTATTTTGAACCACGCCGTCCCCTCCCTACCCTCAAGTTTGGACCGCAACGGCAACCCTAAAAAGATCTTCACAAGCGGTAGTTTCCAAATTTCCACTTCTACATAGTACGAATTTTCGCTGATCTAATAATTTTGATGTATGTTCAAAAATCAGTTTCAGTAAGCAAAGGCCGTTAAATCAGGCCTGTGTATTCCTAAAGGGATTTGTCTGCAGAAACCGACTTTTGTGTTGCCAAAATCGGGCTGGAAACAGCGAACATTTCGGCTGATGGAAGCAGGATAAGCTGCTTCGGCCTAATTACTAGCTCAAAGCTTATTGCTGACATAAACTCTACCCACTTATACTGACTTCTACAAGAATTCCCTAGCCTTCCTGACATGCCATTGCAAAAAAGAGCCATCAGAATAGCGATCTTCCAAAAGAGAATGAACTGCTGCGTACATGAAACCCGTATGCGAAAAACTGATAGCGAAAGGCATTTTACCTGCTCTAAAAGATGCCTGCGTTCAGCAGTGAAATTGACACGTGGTACCTTGCTGTTTCCCAGAAATTCGGACAGCCTTTTACGGACGAAATTCTCAGAACTTTTCAAAAACTCCTCCGTAACCTGCAAATATAGTTCAATTTATAAAAATCGCTACTAAACAAACATTTTTTTTACACATAAAGAACGAAAGTGGTCAGCGAATAATAGAAACAACAGGAGTTAAATTACTTGGTCGGATTCATCGCCTTTTGCTAACCAGTACACATCCATCACTTGGTATGTTGGACCAACATCCACCTGAAAAAAACCAAAGCACTAGATTAGGTCACGCTAACCTTTCTTTTTTTATACTATAAGCACGTGAAACTACAAAGATAGCTGATAGCCTAGTCTATCAAATCTTCAATCCCTAGCAATTGCCAACTGAGTTTTGTTTTTCCAGAGAATGTCAAAGGGCAAAAAGGACACGAACTTGGGAGGGGTTACTAGAAAGAAGATGGATGTTCCCTTTCGCTTAGGAAGAACAGTGTGTCATTTTTTAGGGAAAAAATTAAAAATTCAAAGTTCCGTTCCGTATTTCGCTCTCAACAAGAGGCTGGGGCATTTAGGAGGTAGCTCGAGTAGTAGTAAATGCCAACTCAACCGCTCTCCGCTAGCAGGGCTGTCGATGGCACCCTCTTTCGAAGGTGCTTATAAGCAAGCTAATGATGGGTTCGACCTTCAGGCACATGGCAGTACCAATTTACTATCGAAACGAATCGCACAGTGATTGGTTAACCCACCGGAAGAGTCGAACCTTCACTTGCTGCGCGACAACAGTGCTACCTCGCCGCTGCGTTATGAATGTCGACTTTTGTAAAAAAAAAAAAAAAAAAAAAAAAAAAAAAAAAAAAAAAAAAAAAA